GAGGGGGGAGGGGGACGCTCGTCCGTGGGGGCGGGGAGGATAATAGACACCCCGCGGGGCCCCGCCCCCGCCCCCCCCCGCAGGGCAGCCACCCCCCGCGAGGGAGGGCGGGCATTGTCTCTGCACCTCCCCCCCCGCCGGGGTATGGAGCGTTCCCTTCCCCCGCCTTGACAAAGCCCCGCGTCTTATCTATTATCCTCCCCGCCCCCACGGACGAGCGTCCCCCTCCCCCCTCGGCGATGGGGCGTCCGGCCTCTCCGTCCCTTTGTGGCGGAGAAAACCAGCCCCGGCCCACCCCGGGGCCTCAGTTTCCCTCCTGTTCTCTCGGGGCCCCCCTCTGGGACGCTCGGTAGCCGTCGTAAATGGAGGGGTGGGCGGGCTCCGAGGTTTGCCAGGCAAGGCCTCAGTTTCTCCAGCTGTAAGTGAGGGCTTTGGAGGAGTGGGGCTCTGTGGGCCGGAGGGCCTGTTTACTGGTCTGTAAAACGTGGGGTTTGGGGTCCCCGCGCTCCGCGGGAGTCGGGGTCGTGAGCCCCCGTTTTCCGCCCGGGGGGCGTCCCGAGGCGCCCCCCCATGGTCCGTCTCCCCGTAAGGGAGGCAGCGTCTCCGGGTCCACAGCCCCGTCCCGACCCCGGGGGCCCGGCTTCCCCGTCCGCGGGCGGCCGCCTTTTCCCGCTCGGGGCTGCGGAGTGTTCGGAGCGCGCCCTGGAGGGCGGCGGGCGAGCTGCCGGGCTCCAGGCCGGAATTTCCATCCGGGCCGCCCGAGTTCGCGCCTTTTTACCCCGCGCGGGTGCGGCGCTCCTGGAGGCTCACAGCGTCTCGTTTAGCGTGACCGCGGCTGCGGAGTGGCGTGGCGTCGGGACACGCGGGCAGGTCTGGCGGAGGCTCCGAGCTGCGGCTCCGTGGGCTCGTTTGCCCGATTTCGAATTGCAGTTGGAAAAGACCGGGGGGGGGGGGGGAAGACACCTCCCCCGAGGGACCCGCCCCCCCCTGCCCACTTGTCAAACGCAGTGTCCGTGGCCGCGTGTTATTGGTGGGAGGCGGGGCGGTGAGCCTGGAGAGGCTTTGTTTTGAATAAAGTGAGACGGGCTAGGTTTCCTAGAGTTTTGTGGTCTCAGTATTCCAATCTGCAGTTTCTGGCCCTGTGTCGAATATTTCAGAACAGACTCTGCAAACTAATGTTTTTACTAGAAAATGATGTCTGCGTAAGAGCAAATATTTAGAGGAAGCACCCTGCCAAAGGGTCCTTACCTTCAGTAGCCGGTTTTAGTTGCACATGTTTTTTTAACTTACCAGATCACCATGTTTAAAATCATAGGACTGTGCAGTGATGCCTAATTCAGAACTATTTAATAGTGGTTTTGGTAATTTTTTAGATTATTTTTTAAAACAAATCTTTGAAAGTGTACCTGTAATAAAATAAATACTGAAATAAGTGGAATTTAGAATGTAGCTACTTCTAGTCTTAAGGCAACGTTTCTTTCAGAGGTACTTGTATTCCATTAATTGCAGTACCTTTTTAATTATACAAAAATACTTGGTTACCATCTAGAAACCTAGTATATTGCAAACACAAATGAAAAGGTTAGGGTAGCCTGATAAGATTTTTGGACAGTTCATTCTGGAATTAGAGATTAAAAATCAGGTACAGCTTATGGTATAAATTCTGCTGCTTTATTCATTATGAGTTTTACATATTTGAACAAGGCCACCAGTTTTATTTTAGAATATTTTGAGAAGTGAATATTTAGACAATTTAAATGCTCTCTATTCTATAGGAAATGAAGTTTTCTTTCAGTACTTCAGTATCACCACTTAAGGATCTAGAATTTTATCATCAACAAGCATTTATAAAATGCTGGCTGTGTTCAACTATTCACTGTGTTAGGAACAGGGAGCACAGAGACAAAATTGAAATGGCCCCTGTCTTCCAAGGAGCTTACATTCCATTGAGGAGATAATGTATATATAAATAAGTATACAGAATATGTAGCCAGAATATAAAGCGATTTTGTGAAAGATCATCCTTAAGTATGTCTCAGCAGTTTAATAAATTGTTGTGTCCTTTTCTGCTGATGAATCTCTCTGAACTTAGCAAATTCAGTCCCCTGGCTTCTAAGCCTGGCTAGCTTGGTACATAGAAGCTAACGCAGCTTTAGCTGAGATGACAGTAAACCACCTCTACCACAGTGAAGAGTTCACTGGGAGACTTGATTGGAGGAATTTTATAAACTTGTAACAGCAGCTTTCAGTTCACTTTTTACACCAGACAGTACATCCTAAAGTGAATATCATGCTTTTAAATTGAATACATAAAATATTATGTATTATACGTAAAATTATGTAAGTGGTTTATTTTGTAGCAGGACAGTTCTTTTTGGCTACACGTACCTGTATTTTATTTAATTACTCTGTGCTGACAAGTATAATCTTATTAGATATCTTTATTTTCTCAATAAACTCTTAATATATATTTTGGGCTCAGTAAGATCAGAGTGGATGGTTCTTAACATTCTTAAGAACCTATCTCCTAAAGTAAAGTAATCTGTGAAGTGGTGTGTGTATCTACAAGTGTGATTTAAAAAAAAAAATGAGGACCTGAATTAAACACCAACTAAATTTGGTTCTTTGATTCTGTTATTTGGCAGCAATTTTATTGCTATTCTTTTCAGAAAGCCTTGTTGCTTCTATTGTATGCCCACCATGCCAGCTAGGTCGAACCTAGCTGCAGACCCTTCAGACAAATCCTTACTCTGTCGATGCAGTGTTAAGATAAGTGGTCAAAACAACTAAAATAAATGACACGTTGGGAGAGCTGCAAGGTAACTGGGAGATTTTACAAAGAGGATTAGGAGTTGGAGCTGCTGCCTGGACATCTAAGTGGAGATGTCCGGTAGATGATGGTGCAGAACTAGAGATGCAGACTTGATAAGTCATCCCAAGACTGCTGTTGGTTGAAGCAAAATATGCTATAGAAGGTTATTAAGGATATCCAGTTTTTCTAAGTTGTCACAAACATTTCAGAAACAGCCTTTATCATGTCTTAAAGTTAGAAGTGACCTTAGAGATTGGTTACCTGAACAGGAACTCCCCTGCCACATCCTTGAGCAGGTAAAATAATATGTTTTGAAGGTGATCTTTTTTGTTTTTCAGTAGAATTTTAAAATTAGTGAAACCTGTCCCAGACCAAACATTTCCCTCTTTACAGATTGTACTGTTTATCACATGTGATTGGCTGTATGAGAGGAATGTTGGGAATGAAAGAAAAATTGTTTAAGGTTCCAGTTATCACTGTATCCTCCATGTTTTCTTAAATACCTTTAGCATGTTATCAGAGAAAATATTTTAATGTTGAGAGCTTGGCTTTAAAAGGCAGCAGTTAGCTTTTGGTTTGTACCTTTTATTCTTCTCTGCAGTTAGGATCATCTCAGTATTTCTAAGTGTTGAATGATCGGGATGGTGACTAAATTAAACCTTTATATGCAATTCTGTAGTATGTTTTTAGTATTTAGACTTAAGTGGCAAATTGCCTTTTTCTTTCATGAAAATAATCATAAAATTTTGACTACTTGAAAGCCAGTAGCACTTTCTTTGATATGTTCGTAGTAATATAGGTCACTTTGATTAATGGACCTAAAAAAGATTTGGTCATGGGTTTAAAAAAAAAAAAACACCTATTTCAAAAGACCATAACCAGTGCCATCACTAGGATTTCGGAATTTGGGAGGAGTATAGGTGTGGAGGATTGGAAAGAGTTGGTATTGGGACAGGAAAAATGAGAGATTTCATAGGAACTGAGAAAAGAAGCAAGAGGAATGGTGCTTTGAAAGGAAGTTTTAGGGTGCAGTGGCTTATTTTTTGGCAGTGATGACTGGGTCTCCAAGGAACATTTTGAATCCTAAATATAATTTTGTTTTAGGAGTATTTAGGGTAATATTAGAACCTTTATGTCTGAAGTGCTGCTAGGTTTGTAAGTTATGTATATTTACATTTGTTAAGAGAAGGAAGGGAGAAAGCTTTTATTAAGTACCTCCTATATGCCAGGCACTACGCTTTACAAATATTATCTCTTTGATATTCACAACTGCTCTGGTAGGTAGATGCTATTACATTATCTCGATTTTACAGTTAAGAAACTGAGGTCTATAGCAGTTAAGCGACTTGTGATGTGTCCAGGTTCACACAGCTAGTGTCAGATAAAGGCCAAGGGCTCTTCATGGCACCACCTAGCAAGCTTTTCTGCATGTTTGTTATGTCTCCACACTTCTAACAAGATGTTGACTGACAAGGTTTGAAATAGTGGTTTTATTGACCAGCATTATGAATGAACTGGACATAACTGTTTTTGACAGATGTTTACATTTGATAGCCTTTGTGACTGGCAGTGTTTTAAAAGACTTCTTAATAATCTTGTTTTGTAGATTATTTTCAAAGTTTGAAAAAAAATGTGTGGTGCAGTTTATTTTGGAGGATTAAGTCTTTACAACTCATCCTTTCAAAAGTAACATTTAGTGCTTGCTGTGTACAAAACAGTATTCTGGAAGCTGGAGATGAAAAGTAGAGATAAAACACCCTGCTCATCCCTCCTGAAGCTTACCAGCTAATTAGTGTATTAGATGCAGATCTATCATTTGAATGAGTCACTCATACTCCCTCTACTGGCATATTGTCTCAACCTCTATAACTCTCCTTTTTCTTCCTTTAGCAACTGGGCTGTTAAAAAGCAAAACCAAACACTTATAAACATTAGTAAACATCAATACAGTCTACTAAACTTGATTTTGCAACTGTTTACATTTAAATGAATGAATTTTAACCTGAATCAATTTCAGTCACTCCCTCAAAGTCATCAAAATTCTTTGTTCATTCTTTCTAATTCACTTTTC